ACTATTCCAAAGTCTGGGACCTGCCACAGAGAAGGATCTATCACCACGAGATTTGAGATTAGTCTGTGGGATGGACAACATTAATTCTGAGCTAGACCTCATGGTTTTTCCTGGAGCATAAGCACAGAGGAGCTCAGACAGGTAAGGAGGGGCTCGGGCGTTAAGTGACTTAAAAACAAAAAGTAAAAGTTTAAAATGGATCCTGTAGGAGACAGGAAGCCAGTGTAACGAAGCTAAAACTGGGGTTATATGCTCTCTCCATTTGGTACCAGTTAGCAGGCGAGCAGCTGCATTTTGAACCATCTGAAGACGATGGATGGTTGGCCTGATCTAGACCATAATACAATGAATTGCAGTAGTCTAATCTGCAAGTAAGGAAAAGGTGAATAACACGCTCAAAGATGTTAGCCGGGAGGGATGGCTTTACCTTGGCTAGCTGCGTTAACTGAAAGAAGCAGGACTGAACTACTGCACTCACCTGCTTATTCAATTTAAAAGAACCATCGATATAGACACCGAGGTTTTTTACATGTGTTTTACAATAGAAGGAAAGGGCGCCCAGAGTGCTGTCGATATGATTAAGTTTCCAAAAATGACAACCTCAGTTTTATTTTCATTTAGCTTTAAAAAATTTAATGACAACCACTTTTTGACATCGTCAAGGCAGCGTAATAAGAGCTGCGGATGGTCTGACCCTGCTTTTAAAGGTAGATAAATCCCTAAATAGGTCTTGTAGGGAAGGCAGATTGCAGCCAATTAAAGTGTAAGTGTAAGGACTTCACTGTCTCCACTGGGCAGGCATGCAAGATGGGATCTGAGGGGCTAGTTTCAACCCGAGGTCCACCATGAGCTCCATTGTTTTGGCAGCACTGAGCTCCTCATCTCCACCTGAGATGAGCCCAGTGATGGCGGTCTCATCAGCAAACTTCAGGTTTGTTGGACTGGTGATTGGAGGCTCAGTGTTGGGTGTACACAGGGTTCATACGCCTTTTTCAGGGTCAAATTCAAGCACTTTCAAGGTCCCTTTTCAAACTTTTGCAGCACATTCCCCCCCTCCCCGCCAAAAAAAAAAGAATGCATGTTTCAATTCACATCACCTCAGTAAGACCATGTGAAAATTAAGACAAATCATCCTAGGTGAACTTAAACACCTTTGTTCCCCTTTTGTTAAGACATAGAAAAACGCACCATACAAAAATACTGCAAA